CTCAAAGTTGGAGTAATTCACCAACGAAGAACAAATCAAAACAAAAATGTCGCCAAAATCAAGAAACAATGAAGAAAATTCACCAACCCGACTTTAACAGCGAGAGCTAGAGCGGCTCTCATTCTAGGTTTGGAGTTTCGTCGAACGTAGTAGACGAGACCATTGTCGAGCCTTCCATAGTCAGCACCGAATGGCTCAGGCTCGTTGCCGAGTTCCTTCTCCATGTCCACGCTCATCAGTTTCAGCGACCTAAATCCCTGTTTCCTCAAAACCTTCGAGCTCTCTCCCGTTATCAAATCCATCTCTCTTAACCTTCTTCTCTGTCAAATCCAAATCGCTTCTCAACAGATTTCAATTTCTTTCTCCCTCTGGTGAGAGCACTTTGAGTCCCACCTTCGAGATTTGTCTTCTGTTTTTTCTCCCTTCACAAGTATCTTTTCCGGTTCGACCGAGCAAAACAGCGTTTTCTTTAACCGCATTTCCGGTTTTTTTTATTAAATCCGACCGGATCAATACAGAAGATTTCGGGTATCGATGTAAATTAATAATTGTGCCGATAATAATAATACCAGAACCGGACGAAATCGCTGAACCGAAATTACATTAGTTTACTCAAACCTCCATAACAGTGCACTACTACAGAACAAATACAAACGGATTGTACTTTAAAAGATCACAGAGTTTGATATTTTCTGATTTGATCACTCAACAAAAGAAAGCTTCTGATATAACCTCTCATTAATTTTTCATTCGAATCAGATTTTTACCTTTGGGCAAAGCTTAGAGACTTTCTCAGCAACTAACTTGATCTCTCGGATCCTTTCCTCAACCAGTTGCTTCATCTGCTGCTCTTGTTCCGGTTTGTTTTCATCCACTTGAACATTGCTATTTGTTTCTTCTCCATTCAGAGACTTGAAAACCACAAACGATGCTTCGGGCTCGAACGAGCTTGGAACATCCACGACTTGTTTCTTTGGAGTTTCTATATCTTTTCCAAGAATGTCAGTTCTCACATGGTTGGTGATGACTGATGTGTAATCCTCCATGTACTTGTCGATAGTATCAAGCGCGAGATATATCAAGATCTCCCAGCATTTGACAAACTGTTTCTTGTTGATCTTCAGAGTTTCACGAACTTGCTCGATGGCACTCAGTGGCGGGGTGAATCGAGGTATCTCAGCTTTCTTCGATAGCTTTCCTTTCGTCAGAGTCTGAACGGCCGAGTCAATGGCTGGTTTGATTGGATCAAACGCGCGCAAGCGGTGTATGTCTATGCAAGTGCGAATGTGCTGGAACTTTTCGGATGGCTCTTCCACTGTCAAATCGTAAACATTTTCTGATGTGGCCACTTTGTTTACTACCTCCATGAGATAGCTTCCAAGTCCTTTTCCTTGGAAGGATGGTAAGACCAAGATCTGAAATCAAAATGAAGAATCAGCAAAAACTGTCAAATAAGATTGTAAGAAGAATTGAGATCATTGAAGTATAACGTATACCTGGCTGAGTCGCATCCGTAGCCTGTCAGGATAACGGTAGAATTTATAAATTGCAGTAAAGCCCACAATTCGATACAGAGGCTCCTCCTTGTCCTCTTTCTTTTGAATTAAGAGATATAAATGCCAGTCAGGATCAGTGACATCAATCGGGTTGCTACCTGATCAAAAGAATGGACCCATGTCTTGTTAGTAATAAAAAGAAATTGAAAAATACAAGACGTCTTAAAAGAGCATGGGGGGGGGGGGTGAGTGATTACCATCAACAAAAAGAAGAACAAGGGGTACCAATCGGCTATAGAGGAGCCCAGCATTTGGAGAACCAATTTCCATCCGTAAAACCTGAGGAAAATCGATCATTATATTTCTTTCGTAAAAAATTGCAGCTTCGCTAATGATAAAAGCATCTCAAACTATTTTTCTCCGTTAAGATAATAAGATACATGGAACATATAACCCAAAAAGTACCTGAAGATCTGAAGGAGTCACTTCAGCACTATTGCTGCTTCCATCTGTCACTTTAGAATGCATTACCTCCCCATTTGAGACCATATTTCTAAAACAATCAATGACAAAGTTAAACAACTATACACAGAGACTAAAGAGAAACCTATCTTAAAACATACACGAACAAGTTTGAGGAAGTATGAAAGCATCCAGTAGGTGTGCACCTGATAAAATCTCTCTGGGTCGAAAAGGTTTGCAGAAATTCATCCTTGTTCTCAACAATGGTCTCAGCAAATATGTTCTAAGCGGAATGAATTAATCAATCAATCAGTAAAAAGAAAAAGAGAACATAACATGGCATCAGATAAGATGAGAGATGGAAGTTGATAGTACCTGTAAAGCAGATTTGAGGTCTGTGATGCCTTTATCTCCCTTGAAATAGATAACAGGAAAATGACGCTTCACCGTTAAGTTTTATTCTAAGCAAGCCATAAAGAATCCAATGGATTGAAAGTAAAACTAAAAAACTTACATTGGTAGTGCTCTGGTATGTGATATCAGCATATGAATGCAGTGAGATGCTATTGATCCATACATTTATCTGAAATAAAGGAAATTGACGGCAAACATATATTGTCAGAACATATATTGTCAGAACAGAACCAGAACAATGGAAACCAGAAATTTAAGAAAGAGCAATACAATCTCATGGTAGGACATGATTACCTTCAAACCTTGGTAACCATATATCTTGCCGTCTCCGTCAAAGAAATCATTCAAGTCAACTGGCTTCACACAAGAAATCTCAGGGGAATCCACTTCCTCTTTGCTTGAAACTAGAAAAATCAACCACCACGTAAACAAACGTCAAAATCATGTCACAACAATCTATGAAACTTTATACTGAAAAGAGTTCTATGACTCATTGATCACCTAAAGATTAGATCAATTGGAAGAAAGAAACACACATAAAATCAACAGAACCTCAGTAGAAATATCTGCTTAAAATGTTCAACAACTGAAAACTGCATTTTCATAGCGATACATGACGCAGATGAAGAACTAAATCTCAGACTTCCAATCACACATATGCATATCGAAACAATTCGGCTCATGAGATGAATTGAGACAAAAATTGCTGGGAAAACCAAAAATTACAACCATTGAAGTTAGAACAACTAATCGCACCCAAAAAGGAAAAAGCATAAACGTAACCCTAACTCCGTACGAGAAAAAAAAAATCCCCAAAATCAACATAGCATGAACCAAACCAAATACGCACCGAGATAGATTTTGATGCACTCGTTAGCCTCCACACCAGTATCTGCTGAGAACAAAAACCACCAGATTAAAGAGAAAACACGGAGCTACGCAAGTGGCAATCGCGAGTACAGGAAAACAAACAAGGATATGAGAAGAAATGTCTCACCGGCGGGAGAAAATCCGACGCGACGACGCTTTTTCGGCTCGGTATCTGGACCGGCGGTGGATTGCTGCTTCTGAACCATGGATTCGCCGGCGAGAAAAGGGGTTTCTGAGGCGGGAAGAGAGTGAGACAAAGGCGGGAAAATTGGAGGGTTAAGAGAAATGCGGAGAGCGAAACTCAGTAAGCTTTAGGGCTCTCTCTCTCTCTTTATGTAATTTTACCTCTCGCCGTGAGAAGAGTAGATTGGAGAAATAGACACCACATGATCCGCACGTGATTTCTCTCAAAACTATAACAAGGCCCAATATAGCGCAAGCACCACATGATCCGCACGTGATTTCTCTCAAAACTATAACAAGGCCCAATATAGCGCAAGCCCAGATATAAGACCAAATTCAGTAGTTAAGTTAATAAGATATACTATAAAATATATTATCAGTGCTTTATCAACGAGGGCGTTTGGTCTAGTGGTATGATTCTCGCTTTGGGTGCGAGAGGTCCCGAGTTCGATTCTCGGAACGCCCCATTTTTCATTTTTATTTGGTTAAAAAAAGTTTTTAGTTTCGTTTGGTACAACTTTATTTTTTTAGTTACTGTTTTTTCCCACTCCTTTCGTACTTGTCCTCAAAAAAAATTTGCTTTTTATTTTAACAGTTTTTCAAACTTCCAAATTAGTTTATTTTTTTAAAAAATTCCAAATTTGTTTCTTAATTGTGAGATTCGAGCTGGGTAATATTTGTCAAAAACAAAATTTTGAAAATGTTATTTTTTCATTCGAGTTTTTGACCGTTCGCGTGTCATGTTACGACTACCGGCGTCTATGGAGAAATCACCGCAGATTTTAAGAGAGAG